TTTAAAAAATTTCGATTTAAGCCAAATCTTTCGATTTATTTTAAAAAATTATTTTCGAAAATTTTACGGGTCCCTGACGTTGTTAATGAAATCAAATATACAATCGTATTTATTTATTAAAAAAATTTTTATTGAGGGATAAATACAGATTAAAATAAATTATTTATTTTTGTATTTAAATTATTTCTTTAATTTTTATGTTTCCATTTATTTTGACAAACATACCGTTTGAATCAAAAATTTACTCGATATCGATATCGATTAAAAAATATTAATTATGATCATAAGTATAATTCTGGAATACGAATTTCAAATCGGTGCTGCAATACCGATTTTCCATGATGCTGCAAGTGTTACCGATATGCATAATAAGTCATCCGATCCGATAAATATTTTTTTTTTTAAAAAAAAAAAAAACTTTCCTTCCTTATTTCTTTTGTTATCCTCCCTTTCTTTGATTTAACCAAACAACAATAGACCGAATTTCCTTCCGCGTCCTCTCTCGGTGTTATTAAAGCATTTTAAATGGTGTTCATCAAAAGATAGTTCAAAACACGGAAAGGAACCCGTATAAAGGTAGAAACCACTATCGCATGAAAGGGAAGAAATCTTATGCGAGGAAGGAAGGTAGGAAACCAGTACAACAAGAAAGATACATCAAGTAAAAACTCATGTGTCAGAAAACTTTACTTTTAAATAGTTCCTATGATCTTAGAAATGAAGTAATGTGAAGAAGGTTAATCAAATGCACTATTTTCCCCCCTCTTTTACATCGAAGATCGCTGATCTCATCATAACTTATCCCGATAGTCCATTGGTCCTAAAAGTTTGATGTTTTCGTTTGATAAACGATCTGGTTCATTTGGAAAACTATTATGTGAATTGGAAGTTTTCAAGTATTAAGGCATTGATAAAAATGCATAAATCTTCCGCCATAGCTATAAAACGACGCGTTTAATTGAAAGCTTAATGAGGAATGTTTTAAGAACTGAATAGAGAGATGTTGTTGAACCAAATGATGTCACTGATGAAGATACTTATGATGAACGGAGTGTGAACGCGCCAATCGTGAAGTCAAAGAAGTAATCCATATGATTGATTGTAATTATATTATGTTGTCTAGGGTGAAATGGTTGATGATGATACAAAATCACCTGGAGATATAGGAGTTGATGATTCGTTAGATGAACTACATTATTTGTTATCATGATTAATTACATCCATATAATTCTTCTTGTACTTGTATTTAAAAAAAAAAGTAATCGTTAAGAGATAAGTATAATATGTATGCGTATATATATATTTTTTATTTAATAAAAGTATTTTGTAGTTTTGATTAATTGAAAGAATTTGAAAGAGCTATGGAAGTTACAATGCTAGCGACGACGGTTGATAAACCATTTGGGCAAGTTGAATAAGAAAAGGACTTTGATTGCGATGATCAGTATGAGCAAAATGAAGTTGAAAAAGATAAACATACGGATGCATCACAAAGTCGTGAGGAGATATTTCATATTCACTAATTGTTTCTTCGAGAGAATTTAAAATGGAAGTTAGAAAAGGAAACTAATTAATTAGCGGAGAAGCTCAACACCAACGAGAAAGTGCTCAAAAGTCAACTTCACCCTTTATTTAATGTTCATAAAATGTCCGAATCAAAAGGAAATTCTTAAAATCGATAATCAGATAGTTCTTAAGCCAGATAAAAAATTATCAAATCAAGAGAAAAGATGTAAAAAAGGAACTAGACGAACATTTTATCTTATAGGAGATTACGTCATAGCTTAATATTAATATTATCATCATGGATTACTTTCCATCATAATGCTTTAAACTTGTTAATACTATAGCTGTTAATATGCAAATTTGCGATCACTCAAGCTGCAACATGAAAAAGCATCATGAGATTAGAAATGAGAAAAAAAAAAGAAGACACCAATGAATAATAAATCTGACAAGTGAGTCATTTTTTATTATTATTATAGAACCATAATTATAAGAATATTGAAATAAAATAATAAAGTAGGAATTATTAATGTCAAATTTTTGAAATTACACATTACATTTTATAATTATTATTAATTTTTCTAACCTTAATTTATCTTTTTATATAAAGAAATAGTAATATTTAATAAAGTTTTAATTACAAATTCTTCTTATTATTAATATTATAATAAGTATATTAAAAAAAAAAAGATTTACTGTTTGATAAAATTAGACTATATATATTATATAAATATATTATCTTTTAACTATCTTGCCTACAAATTTGTAGCAATTTTATTTATAAATTAAAATTATTTTTAAATATTTTTAATATTTTAAAATATGTTATTAAAAAATTAATACTTTTATAATATATTTTATAATATTTTCTAAGTAAAAATCAAAAATAAATGAATGATAAATTATTATTAAAAAAATTAAAATTTTAAATTAATATATCTTATTATTTATTGATCCTAAAAATATAAAAATACTATAATTTAATAAGTCTTACTAAAATGAATCTAATAAACTGAATTTTATTTTAAATAATTATTATATAATATGTTATCTTTAAAAATTAAAAAATTGAAAAATTAATAAATATTAATAATTATTAATTTTAAAATATTTTAAGTTTTTTATAAAAATTTTATATTTATAATTTAAAGATAAAATAAAAAATAGTTTGATACTAAAATTATTTTATTTATTATTTAATTATTAAAACATCTTTTCTATTAATAAACTCTTTTTAAACTTTTAAATTTTATAAATTATATTTTTATAAATAAAATTTAAAACTTTTTAACAATAACATTTAATTATTTATAGATTATCTAATAGACAAATTTACTTATAAACTTAAAAAAAAAGCATTAATTTCTTAATAAATATTAAATATTAATTTTAGAAATATAATAATTATATGAAAATTATAGTTTAATATTATAATCGGACATGAATAGTGTGATTTGCTAATATAACATAATATTAAATATTAGAAATATAAAATATATTAAATATGGAAAGCGATCAATAAAGAAGGGAGAAATCTACAAATTTTGAATAATTTTAGTTATTAAGCTAGTTTTATTTACATGATTATGAACAGCAAAGTTTACCAATAAAAAAATTTTTGACTGAAAAGTGGATTTCACTTGTAGTAAAAAATACTAATAGCTATATACAAATTACTTTTTGATAGTTTTATGTTATTCTTTCTCTTACTTATATTAGTCAAAATAATTAAAATCAGCTAAAAATTAGCTGATTTTAGGCTGATTTTGATATTATTTATAGCTAATTTACCAATTTTATGATCAATACAAATATTTATTGATCAACATCAATTAATTCCAATTAGATATAACCATTCAGCATTAATTCAAAACTTAAATTCAATCATAAATCAGCTTAAAATTAACCTTAATTTGATAATTCAACATTAATTCCAAACTTAAACAACCATAAATCAGCCTAAAATTAATATTAATTTAGCATTAATTCAGAACTTAAACAATTATAAATCAGTCTAAAGATGTTACTGCAACTAGTTGCAACTGGTAACAAATAAGCATCACAGTTGCAACTAGTTGCAACATTAATAAAAATTGAGTTACAACTAGTTGTAACCGGTGACAAATAAGTATCACATAGTTGCAACTAGTTGCAGCGCCATCTTTAAATCAGTCTAAAATTAGCCTTAATTTAGTATAAAATCAGCCAAAAATTATATAAATTGATATATTTTATTGGATAAATTTATTTATCACCTGGGGTGAGATTTAATATTTCTCACCCCTAATCACGTGATTGTTTACTTAAATTTTATTGGATAAGTAAATTATTTAAATTTGAAATTTTCAGCTAATTAGAATTCTTAGATAAATTGAATTGGTGACTTATACATAATCGAATTTGCGTCACAGATTTATGATCGATAAATGACCACATATTTATGTATAGAACTAGAAAATGGAAACCGTTGTAAATTCTGGAGTGAAAGTTGGAGTTGCAGATTTAGAATTAGATTAAATAAATGTAATGCAAAAAAAGTAATAATTGATGTATGCATTGTGTAATAAATATAATGAGATACCGGAATAAAATTTATATAACAGAAATTCGTAAGAACTTTTCCTATCTTGTGAGATTTGTTTTGTGTATCACGTGTGCAGACAAACCTACTTTGTCACATAACCTTAATATGTGATTACCTTTCATAAACATATATAGTCCTTCACTTCGCTCTAGAAAATCATATGCAATTTGCAGATCACATAACATCGAACTGTCATCCCTAATGAATGAATGTCTAGTTCTTTTCTAAAAATATCACTAACATTTATTTCTTACAGACTATCACCTTTGCAAAATTTTATTAGAATTGCTATTAAAATTGCTCAATCAAATTATAATAATTACATTAATG